GCTTAGCATTCATGGGTGGTCAAAGCTGTAACTGAGATACCTCTCCATGGTGCAGCAAGAATTCAGAGATTTATTTTATGCAATTGGCATTCTATTTATAGGTTTTGGTCCACTGTATCTCAGAGCGCATTACAGAGCATTTAATCACAATATACTGTACCTACAGCACAGTTCCACCACAGCCATTTAGCACATGGAGGGGGAAGGAGATGGGAGAAAAAGGAAAAGAGGTGGTTTGATTTTGTAAAATTTAATTCTTACCTGATTAAAAAAAAAGTACTCTGATCATTGTCTTCATCCTACTTCTAACTCTTGTCAAAATCTTCTTACTCATTGCACCTTTTCTCCTCAGCATCTTGTTCATTTTTTCTTGACCTTCTGAAAGATAGCACCAGGGCAGGTTTAGGCTAGACATTAGGAAAAACTTCTTCACCGAAAGGGTTGTCAGGCTCTGGAATGGGCTGCCCAGGGAGGGGGTAGAGTCCTCCTCCCTGGAGGTATTTAAAGGAAGGATAGATGAGGTGCTTAGGGACATGGTTTAGTGGTGGGATGGCAGGGTTAGGTTAAAGGCTGGACTCGATAATCTCAAAGGTCTTTTCCAACCAAAGTGATTCTATGATTCTATAGCCCTTGCTTTCTAAACCAAGTTTTTTACCCATGACATGAGTTCTCCACTAGTCTCACTTTCTCTTAACTGTCTAAATGCTTCATAACTGCCCTCTCAATTTTAAACTGCTGCAGCGTCCACCATCTCCTTGGCTCACAGGCTGTGTTGCTGCCCCTTCCTGAAAGCAGCTGTACCCTTGGCCATCAGATGTACATACTACTTCTTATCCTCCATGTTGTGCACAACTCTGTGCGTATCAGACTTCTCTTGTATAATACCCTAATCTTTTCCCACTCTTCTCTAGTAATGCCAGTGTCTCCAGTTCTCTCCCGAGTTTCTCTCTCCCATTCTTCTCTTGCTTGCTCTGTGGCTAGCCCTGTCTAGCAACCATACAGCCCCAGTGCATAAAGACCTGTTCTCTCTTCACACAAACCTTAACTCTTTCTGGAAAACACCAAGTTAAAGGATTAAAAAAATATCCATAGTAGCCTCCTGTACAATTTTTATTTTGGCCTGTAACCTAAACTCCAGCTCTCCAGAACAGCTTTCCTATCTGTGCCTTGTAGCGTGCCAAGTACGTTATCAGTACTTGACAAGTAATTGCTGCTTCCGCAGAATGTTCTTCCTACCTGGTAGCTGATCGCTGAGAACTGCACAGCCCCAGGAATTCAGCCCAGCAGCTAACCAGTGAAGTCCAGAAAAAGCAAGTAAGCGTTTTGAGGAAAGCTCATATCTCTCTCAGCTGCTTATGGAATCAGAAGCAAAGATGAAAACAAAGAAAAAAAAAATCAAAATAACTGCAACCAGCCTAAAATCCTCATTCTTTCCACTCCTTATCTTGGCAATAAGAAGTACGGCAGCTTTGCCTCCCTTCCAATTAGCTGGGCCTCTCTTCTGACCCACGAATGTGGGCTCAAGAGTAAAGGAATATGTAAGCTACAAACCTGTAGTGGTGGTTTATTTAGTGCGTTTCCATTACAGCACTTCATCTTTTCTCCTTTTTTTAATAGGATATTTTCTCATTTAATAGTACCAAACATAATGGCAAATGAATGGCTGATCAGGCACATGAAAACTTATAAGTGCTGAAATTAGGAGAATAAAAAAAAAAAAAAAAAGTAAAACTCTCACACAAAGAGATTTGAGATCACCAAGGAACAAAGTCCATTATTGCTAATTGTTTGGTGCAGTTACTTGGTGCACACTTTTACATGTGCAGAAACAAGTTCATTCGATAGGTAGGTAGATAGGTAGGTAGGTAGTCATCTTCTCGTAGGGGACAGATTTGTCCTTGCAGCACAGAAGAACAGTGTGTTATGTTCCATGTTCTAAATGGCCTTCTAACATAAAAAAAAAAAAGCAACACTTATTCTCAAAGTTCTCTTCTGAGCTTAGACTGGGGCTTGCATGAGAAGAAGAGTGCTCCTGCCCATGCTTTATAATCACTATCAGTTTTTCAAAAGGCTGGCTGTGACCTACACAGAGAGGAGCACATTGATGGTTCATACAGCATATTTAAAAAGCCAAGACTTTTCAACGCACTGACACGTCAGATTCCCCTGAATCTGGTTCGGATTCAGAGCACCACCCCTGCAAAGCTCCCTGGATTTGACAAATGAGAAAGAGCAGATGATGCCAGCGTAGAGGTAGCAGGCCCAGAGAGCTGCAGAGAAAAGGGGCTGGCAAGGCAAGGGGCAAGGAGGGTCAGGCACACAAAAAAAGTTGTTCATCGATGGGTTGCTAGGTGTCTTTAAACTCTGTATTGTGTGGTAGAAGGGCAGGTTACTTCCTTTCGATCAATGGCCGGTATCCAATCCCTGTAACATACTTGTATTCACAGCCATTTAACAACAAAAATATTCTGTGAAGCCAGAAGTAGACAGAAAATTGGCTGTTTCAACAGTTCGTGTTGTTCCCCCAGTGAGAAGACCATACATCTCAGGGACTATTCACCCTGCCTCCTGTTTGGCCACATCATGGGCAGCTCCAACACGTGCAATTGAGGTCAAGATTGCTACCACAAATGCTGTTTCCTTCTTGCTTTCTTCTCTGCTTGATGTGCTTGTTAGTTACAGTGCGCATCAACAGATTTCAGGAGAACCTTCTCACTTCCCCATCACAGTCATCATCACCATTATTGTAACTATATCACCCCCAAAAGAAAAAAAAAAAATTTAAAAAAGAGTTTTTCTGGATAGAAAAAATATTTCAATTCAGCAGCACCCTGATTTGGTCAATAAAAAGATAACTGTGGACTTAAAAAACATCACCAACTGGAAGTATCCCAAGTAAACATAAGTTGAGACCACTCACAAGCCCTTATGATTTAGAGAGTAAAGGGCAATCAAAGCATTCAATCCATCTTTTCATCTTATTTATCCCAAAGAGAAAATTCAATATATATCTAATTTCTGTTCATTTCATTTCCTAATAAACAAGGAACTAATGCACTGACTGTAAGCTGGGAGGAAGGAGCATGCAGTATTTCAAATGCAATGAAGCTTGAAAAGTTTAGTTTGGTGGAGATTGTTCTGTACAGCTGTACGTGGCTGAATTTTCCGTAAAGTAACAAACAGCCAGTGAAGTGAGTTTGTATTCAGATAGACTTGGCTCAGCAGGCTGTGGTTTAGCCCCATAGGTAAGCTCAGATTTGACATGGGTTAAAATAAAATGGTCCTTGGCGACCGGTCATGCTAACTGAAATTTTACTCTTGGAGGACTGGTTAAGAGGGTCCGGATCCAATTCTTCCACAGCCACTGCAGCTGGAACAGAGCTGGTCTGTCAGTGCCCAGCTCCATCAATCCTACATGTCTGATCCGTCTGAGTTTCGCTAAGAAAACAAAGTAAGGGAGCCCTGAGACACACAGACATAACATAAATAAAAAAAAATACATTCACGTTCCCAACTGTCCACACGTTCTCAAGAAAGTTGCACCTATGTTATATTACTCAGCATGTGGTTTCAATTGTAACAACAATGCCCGTTTGTTCAACTGCGTGCTGGCTGCTAACTAACACTACTACTGGCCGCGTTCAAATGCGGCATGGCCTGGGACTGCCTTTCAGGGGTCAAGTGCCTGGCCTGTGCCTGCTGGCTTATGGTCGGGATAATCTTCTAGGTTACCCAAGCAGCAGACCCAGACTCTTTGATATCATGAAGGCATATTTATATACAGTACGCATACACTGTGTATTTTTCATAAGGTGGAAGGTCCAAGAAAGAGGGTACTGGGGAAAAAAGCAAGCGAGAAAAAAAAAAAAAATAGTATCTATCTAGGTCTTTCCATTCCCTTTGCATTAGATTTACTAAATGAAATAAATGATTTTACACTACTCTCCTAAAACTGAATTTAATTATTTTTCACTCGTTTTTACAAACGACTGCTCATGAGCGTTGCCTTGCCCTGCAGAACCATTTGCGCTGACTATCACTGAGGATTTTTTTCAGAAATACTTGCTATCACCAAAAGTTTTCTGATAAAACATGAACAGTGATGGTTTCCAGTTTTTTTGGTCTCATGGATTTAGGATATTGTCAACGTTTTCACTAACAGCTGCTGGATCTTTGTAGTGGGGAGACAAAGAGTAGAAGTCAATAGAGCTCACTGAAAAGGTACACCCAATGTACAACTTCAGCGCTGAATTTAGCAAGAGAGGAGGACTGCATCACTAGCCTGCTAGGAAAAGAATATAACCCATGTTTTCGAAGCGTGCTCCACTCCTATCTCATGCCATTACAGGCCTTTCCTAAGCTAGGTAATGACACTTCATTATAACGAACTTACATTTAACTTACATATAACTTTTGGGCAACTTGTGTTTTCAATGAAGTCTTGCTGCTATGTGGTTGTCTTCAAAAATCTCTCGACCTCACATATTGGAACAGCGACCTGGAATTAAACAATGGGATGACCAACATATGTGACAGTATAATTCAAAACAGCACTATAATGCCTGCTCAGAAAAGGGCCAAATTAAAGCTCTTCCACCTCCCTCAGCTGTGACATTTCCTAACATTTAAATGCTCGGAGTTCTAAACTTTATAACATTATAATCTTTTTAATGTAAAAAACATAATTTTACAGGGGCAGGGAAGAGAGGGTTATTTACAGAGTTAAACAGTAGTTCAGGACACTTTTTTTAACCCTTTCAGCCCCCAAAACCACCTCTGAACATACCCTTCTCCAATTGATGCATCACAAAAAGTCCGTGTGGAAAAACTTCCTAATGCAATTAGAATTTCATTGAATGAAGCCATTAAAAGTTTCATAGAAAGAAAGAAAAAAAACCAAACCCCAAACCTATTTAAAGATTTTATGCCCATCTCTATTGTAAAATATTCCGTGCTGTTCTTCCTACCCCGCAGGCTTTCGGGCTCACGTGGCCGACGCAATGGAGCCACACTTTACAACCGCACCCCCAGCTCTCCCGGTGCCAGTTAAGGAGCTGCATCGAGATGGCCACACAGATGATGATCAAGGAGCTCTGTTTGTATTTAGACTTAGGCCAAATGTTTCCAGTGAAAGCCCCAGAAAAGGAGGATAGGTTTAAAGTTTTATGTGCCCCTGAAGAATGCTCTCCTTATAACAAAGAGGGTTTTTTTTTTCTTCAAGACCCTTGAATATAGAGCCCAAACAGAACATGAGCTCTTATTTTGCTAACATTTCTGTACTCTTGAGATACAAGAGTATAAACATGAATCATGATGAAGTATAAACTGTACCAACATGTGAGATGTAAAAAAAATAAAATCAAACAACAAAAACGCACCCCGGGATTTCCTTACTGCTAGATTTCTCTTGATTTCACTCCATTTATCTTTTCTACCTCAACCTGTCTCCTAGCACAAACCTTTTCAGTCTGTGAATGCTTACAGATCTCCTGGAGGGTGGGGGGCTAGAAGAGGGCAAGGGGTGGGAAAGGTCCGAGATGAAGGTTCATTAATGCAAACGTATCCGCTGGTTGGGATTACAGATTATCGATAAACCCTCCAAGTGACGGGCAGGTAGTACATGCATTTGGTGGACGTTATTCTCAGGTAACTGATGATAACAGAGCACTCAGATCGTTCTTGCACTGGGTGAAGCCACTGGTGGGGGGGTTAATATCCAGCCAGGGTGAAAAATTAATGACTAGCAATTATAGGAATATAACTCTTTCTGTTATTCCTATTGCTTTAACAGATGAAAAGGGTAGATATAAATTAACAGGTCTTGGCATGTCCAGCAATACTGTCATCCAGCCAAGCAGACGGAGTTTCAAATAGGCCAGAGCTCTGTCCGTGTTTTCTTTCTAGGTGCCTCATTACGCACCGCAGCCAGGCACTGCTGCATCTGAGCTTAAACAGGAGCTGTGGCACACTCAGCGTTCCTCAAAGTCAGGCTTGTTTTTAAGTACCCAAAAAAAGGATTGAGGCGCTGTAGTTTGGGCCAGTATGTTTTTCGATCCTCACTTAAATATACATACAGACAAAAAAAAAAAAAAAGGGAAACAATGGGGAAAATCTTATTTTGGAGAATTGTGTTATTGTTTTTGAAGTTTGAAGGCACAGGCACCTCAGGATGTGGTTCTGCATTGCACATCTTTCAAATGGCAAAGCCATTGTCCTGGTTTTGGCTGGGATAGAGTTAATTTTCTTCACAGTAGCTAGCATAGTGCTGTGTTTTGGATTTAGTACCAGGAGAATGTTGGTAACACACTGATGTTTTCAGCTGTTGCCAAGTAGTGCTCAGACTACTCAAGGACTTTTTGAGCTTCTCCTGCTCGTCCAGGTGCATAACAAGCTGGGAGTACAGCACAGCTAGGATAGCTAACCCAAACTGACCAAAGAGCTATTCTATACCATATAACGTCATGCTCGGGGGGGTTAGTTCGTTCGGTCGGTCGTTCGGTTCGGTCGGTCGCGGGCAGAGTGGTCGCAGCTCAAGCTGTGTGATCACGACTCGGGGGGGGGGATCACGGCTCGGGCGGGGGGGGCTGGGCACCGGTCAGCGGGTGGTGAGCAATTGCATTGTGCATCACTTGTTTTATATATATTCTGTATATTCTCTTACTATTGTTATTATTATTATTACTACTACTATTGTTATTCTTCTCTCTTATTAAACTGTCTCTATCTCAACCCACGGGTCTTACTTTTTTTTTCTTTTCTCCTATTCTCTCCCCCATCCCACTGAGGGAGCGGGGGGAGTGAGCGAGCGGCTGCGTGGTGCTGAGTTGCCAGCCGGGTTAAACCACGACAGCCATTTTAAGACACTTCCACCTCCAGGTATGCCAAGACACTCAAGAGAGATTACTGCTTCCTTAGTTGCAGCAATTCAAGTGGCTTTATGACTGGCTAAGATGCCAGGTAATATGCTTTTTGTTTTATTCTTTTTCTGTATTTTTAAACCACATTATTTCAGAGATGAGGATATGAGTGGGGAGTTGTAATGGCTTAAGCCAGCATAAGACAGTACTGCTTTCCCAGTGGGCAGTCCACTCACGCGACTCCTACCATATTCCCACATACCCACTGTTGCTTTTGCATTTTTCACTAGCAACAGTAACTCCGAAAAAAAAATAATAATAAAATCTACAACAAGAAGCAGTTTTCAGTCACCCAGAGGCTCACGCTGCAGCCCCCATCACTAATCCTAACCCATGGTATGGGCAGCAAGGAGGAAGAGGACAGCTGAGGGCCTCAGAGATGGTGAAATATTACTCCTTTGGACAGCAGAATATTTTTAGCTTGGCTTAAACTGATCTTACATCTTTAGAGGAGTGAAGTCCAATTGGCAAAATTGAGGGGGCACATACTACCAGCAAGACATGGAAATGAGTGAACAGGGGCAGGGACTCTGAAAGCAGCCCGGTGAATTTTTAATGGGGAGGCCCAGCCTCGCTGAGGAACCCCCATTTGTGGGGACATGCCCTGTCAAAGAATAAAGACCAATGCTTGCTAATCTCAGAGGATCAGATTATTTGGGCCAGCCAGCCAGGAGAGCTTTGACAGCACTTTGAAGAGCAGCCATGAGAAGTCAGCAAGAATCACAACCTCTGGAAATGGCATAAATTGTGTCTCCATATCATGCAATCACAGTCCAGCCAACATGCAAAGAAAGAGACTTCAAAGAGGAGGAGAAAGAGAGATACAGAGGGCAAGGTAATAGCACAGAGATCAGTGTTACATCAGGTTAACACAAGCAGGTTTACATGGGTCTAATGGTTGTCAGGGCTGGTCCAGAGTCTGTAAAACCAGCATATGTTTCTCTAGTCTGAGGGTTTTATATCCTCTTCTTTAACAAACCAAGAATCTGTGAAAAGCAACTATTGTGATTTGTCTGTTTACTGACTGCACTAGCCTGTGGGTATTTCTTTTCTTCTGCATATCAGAATCAGTAACAAAAAATATTTTACACCTTCCATAGTGAAAACTGATGAGAAGCAACAAGGGCAGTGCAATGTGGCAAAGAGTGCTTACAGTGTCTCAAACAAAGAGAAGAGATGGGGGAATTTGAAGCAAACTTGCATCTTTTTCCTGTACAGTTCTATTCCTGAAAATCTGAAAGATGGATTTATCCCCTTCTACAGCCTCAACAGTGAATCGACTCTATACTCAGCCATGTCCATCCCAATGTAGAGCCAAGACAACCTTAAGGAACAAACAAAAGCACTTTACAACCCACATTTGTCTCCAAACTAGAAGAGTTTATACTTTTTCACCTACACAATATATTATCTAAGCATCTTCTGATAGAATTGGACTGTAGAGCTTGAGCTGGGGTTTGTCATTCACCATGTTGAATACTAGGCTCTACATTTCATTGTCCAGGCAGTTACAGAGGTTTGCATGGGTTTGGGTTTTGTCTTTTCACTTCCTGAGCAGCAAATTAGGAGTTCATTCTTGACAAACAGAAAGTGCATGTAAATTAAATCCGTCTGCTTCTAACAAAATAAGGAATAAGAGAATGGATCCAAGGGAATATTTCATTTGCTAAATACCCCTTATACCCAGCACTGGTACCCTTCCAGTGAAGCTCTGGTTCAGAGCAGCGGTTCAAAGCAAACCAACTGCCTTCCTGCTACGAAATCCCCGTGCCCCGGCTGGCCGGCCAGAGGATCTCTTTTCCTTGGTCCGGTGCCAGCTGACCAGTTGCAGTTTGCAGCATATGCTTGGAGTTTGCATGTGTCGCACGGACCTTTCCATTCTCCCCTGGGTGAAGAGCCAGACAGATCATAAATTTATTGATTCAAGCCAAACTACATTTCTTCAAATGACAAATTTACTATGATTTCGCTTTTAAACTGTAGCACTGCTGTAGATAACAAATGATACTGCACCAGCTCATTTAAAACCATCCCTACATTAACGACTCCTAAATATGGTGTGCATCTCCATCTTTTCCTCTGGATTTTTCTTCACATTTATTCTCTGTTGATAGAAAGACTGGTTTGTGGCTGTACAGTACAGGAGGTGTTTGTTCAATAGCCTCAGCTGATGGTGCAGAATCTGTCATTTATGTTAGCACGGTGTCTTCCTTTCACAACTAATAAAGACAAATCTTCTCACTCTTAGAGTCTCTGCTATTGAATTTCAATTATTTTTTTTAAATGTCACTGCTAATTTAGAAACAACAGAGCAGGTACACCGTCTGCCAGCTTGGTGCCTCCATTTCCCTTTAGTAAGTTAAGAATTACGTTGCCTCAAGAGGATTTGCAAAACAGCAATTTTATGTTTACTGTGACCCTCATGACACCACTCAACAACAGCCTTCCCTGTCTTTGGCATGTGAGCCTCTAGATTAGAGCAAGCATTCCTGATAATTTAATCAAGAGTCTGAGCTACCTCTAGTCTGACTGTGGACCGTAACTATGCCCGTAACCCCTCGCTGCTGACATCCAGAGGTTTTGTTTCATAAAAATAATCTGAATTAGCGCAGAGATGTGTTAATGGACCCGCTGAGCACACAAAACATGTAAAAGTTAAATTTTTCATTAATGATCTTTTGGAGCGTGATTGATTTTTCCGCTTAAAAAACTACAAAACAACCATTTCCTCTTATCTTCTGGGAAAAAATACTACAATTTCATAGCCCTTTAAGCTTAAAGCCTATCAGATGAGATATAGTAAGTAATTACAGAGTACATGAGCATGCTTCCTCTGAAAGGAGATGATGACAATTGACCTGTGAGAGCAAAAATGTATTTTTAAAATAAAATAAAACTTATCACAGGTAATGAAACTTCACTTAGGTCATAATCTGCTATTTCAGAAAGAATGATGAGTCTGTTTAAATACTGAGTTAAGAATTAATCTTGAATAAATGCTGAAACAACTCCACTAAGAGCTGAATCCAGAATGAACATCCTATGCTATTTCTAATAAGTACTCTTCTGTACTAAATACCACACTGTTGTAATATGCGCAGATTTTTCTGTGGGGATCCTTTTACAATATTTGATTTTTCACCATGTTTATTTTTGTAGAAATGGTAGTTCAACTACTAGAGTTATTTAAAACAGTGGGGTTTTTTCCTTTGTTGAAAATTATAAGGAAATAAAAGCAATCCTTTCAGAAGCGCTGTTCTCACAATAACCAGGGGGGATAATTTGGGTTTCTCAACCCACTTTTTAGAATTCTTGAAGTCACATGCCTAAAGGTTTTCTTATGTTTTGCATATGGTTCATAAACACTTTTTCTCCAGATACATGTTCAGAGATTAAAATGGTTTGGTTTCAGTCTAAAAGTATAAACCATCAACAAACAAAGCAATGCTAATGTTTGACATGAAGCTGCTGTTCTAGTACGCGGTTTTCATTGATGTGCTCAGTATATTTTTTTTAAACTACATTTAAGATTCATAGTCTCTGTCCCTCGTCAGGATCAAACATATTCTGTAGTTAGGGGGAGGAGTGACTATGTGGCAATGCTCAAGTGCTAACTCTCCTTGCTCTCCATGTCTCTAAAAAGTTAAAAATTGTCATGAAATAACTATTACTGCTCAGCCTTTCAGACAAATGCCTAAAAGGCTGCACCACCTTATTACCAGTAGGAACAGGGGATATCTGAGAAGGTTTCTGTCAAATAGATTTGAAGACCTTTAAAACTACTTGTTGCTATATAGTTTTCTAGGCACAGAGTTGGAGGTTGACATTTGACAGCGTTGCTATTCCTAAATTTTGCATTTATGACATTTTTAAGCACCTGCACATGAAGCTATCTCATCCTGAACTGAAAATCTTTTTATGCTTATATGATACAAGTTCTGAAAACAGGGACATATCCATGACATGTGAGAACACAGCAGTGAGTCCCACCTGATGATGCATTTTTTTTCTCTACCATAGAAAACTTCCACCAGTCTTTTTTGGAAAAACAGCAGAGTAGATATTACTAAATGCTCAAAAAGAACACAGTAGCACCCAGGCAGTCTTTAGTGCATTACACAATACCAAGAAAGAGACAGGCAGATTGGCCTTTGAAATATATGGAAAATATAATGCTGACAAAACTGTTACTAGCAAAATCTTTTTCTCCCTTAGCAGAAGTTACGGGTGGTCTTCACAAAAAAAAGAGATTAAGAAAACCTTGGCTGCAGCTAGCTCGCTGGCAAATGCAAAACCAAATATCTGGCACCAGGTGTGAAAGTAGTGAGGCACCCCAACCTCACGGTCATTAGAATTTTGCAAGATTTCCAACCCAAGTAAGATTTCCCAGCTCACACCTCCTTCATCAGCCTTCATCACACTGGCTGAAAATATCTTGGCAGTGGGGATAATTATTCATCAGTTACAATAAGTGTTACAGACGTATCTGAATCAAACGCAGTGCGCGGGCCGGATATACGGCTTCGAGAACTCCCACCGTGTCTGTTGAAAACTCTGCTCTGGCAGGGCTGGGAGCTGCACCTACAGCCAGCAAGGGCCCAGCAACAAAATCTCTCCTTCGTGTTTGTCTTGAACTAGGATGCCCACCACAGCCTTGTGACTTACCACCAACTTGAATCATCTTCTAGGTAAGTCAGTGAGGTGGACTTGTGCAAATGCTTCATTTAACATCTTCATTTTCTTAAGAAATAATCTAAATCACAGATCTGCAAGTAAATCCTCATCAGTCCCCACCCAGAAGATAGGAGGTTGATCTCCAGCTCCCATGTCAGTAACGATTTATTTGCTTGTCCAGCCAGGCTTTTTCATTCCTCCTTGTATCGAATGTCGCTTCAGCCCACCATCTAGGTCCCTGTCCTTCGTACAGATAGCACATTGTTGGGAAATGTTTACTTTGCCATACGCCATCACGATCCTGGGATGAAGTATCAAATGACGGGCTTTCATCTGGTTATAATTTATTCATTATATCACTACTTTATATTAAAGAAAACTCAGCAGTGTGAAAGTATGAACGGAAAACACATTTTGGATATTGAATAACCTGGAAATTATTAAAGTTAAAAGCTCTTGAGTCAGACAGAGCAGCATCATATTATTAGAATAATATGTTAATGTTTCAGTCATGCAACCTCTGTGGGACTTTTGAAACACCTGTGGAAATAAGTTTTGCGCTATTACAATGCTAACAAATACACTGGACCTAGTCAGTTTAATTGCTCAAATTATCCATATGACTGAGTTTTATGAGCTAATAAAACACATCCTGATATAAATATAATAAATACTTTGTACCAAATACTACATTGAGTCTATTTTCAACAACTTCTTCCTATTTTCTTTTTCTCCTCTGTTTTCCTGTTCCTCAGGTTGCACTCAGTACAGCTGCGACGCAGAAGACCCCTGATGTCGCTTGCGGTGGGATGGAAACTGTGAAAGCACATCATCTACCGTACAATGGAGAGTCTGTCTTTAAAAAGAAAAGATACTGCAGAATAGATTTAACTCTTTCCAAGGAAACCACGTCAACGACTCCTGCTCTCTCTTCCAGCGCAGAGGAAGAGGCACCATTTCTTGCTGTCTCCCTTTCCCTTTGTTAGGCCAGATCCATATTCCCAAATTTCATCACACCTCAACTTCACCTACTGGCTCTTCACTTTTACTGCCTTCTCCGAGTGTTTTGTCATTGATAACAGAGTCTGGCAAGCCATTTTGCTTACCTAGCATTAACATCCCTGCTTTTATATTCATAATTGTGTCATAAAAGTGAAAGATGGTAAAGTTTTATGATGTCTAAAGATGGGCCTGAGTGTCGAAACCTGCACACTAAGTGAAAATTTTCCCAACTTGGGAGGTGTAGGGTTTCAAGTTCAACACAACTTCTTCCCTGTTCTAAATGATTACACGTTCTGCTACTTTCTTGTGAGGCAAATGATGTGAACATACTAAGGCATTTTCATTTTTAGTTTCTGACCACAGAAAAAAGCTTAATCATTAGAGGCAAGCAGGTTAAGATGTGATAGTTCAAGCTTGGGGTTCAGGAACAGAGAAAATGGTGGAAAACAAACAGGTCATTGCACTAATGAATTCATTATGTACTTTTTCATTTTAACAGCAGTAATTTTGAAAGCTGATGGTCCACATCAGTAAGGGATAATTACTTACCAAATGGAAGTGTATGAATTAAAATCATGCAGTATTCCTGAAGTTGAAGAATTTATTACCAAATGAGTGATCGAGTAGACCTAAATGATGAAAAGAGATAAGTCATTGAAAATAAAATGCAAACACTGGCCTCATTTAACCACCGGCTCAGAAGGGATTTATGATCCTCCCAATATAAAAAAAAAAAAAGTAATTTCCCTCACATTCTTAAACTCAAATTTACAGCTATATGAATCTTTGTCTGTTGAAGTAGACAAGTAGGGCATATATGCAACATAAGAGTCTGTCAAATATTTTTACTCAGTTTTATCAAAATATAATCACACAGCTTGTTTATCCTTCTGATTCTGCGTATGTCAACAGTTCTACATTATCAAAGTCATTTAGAAACTGCCCGCTCCCTACTGTGATGCTCTAAAATAGCCAAACTCACCAACTGATTACCCTATAAAAATTTGGTCCAAAGCCAAATTTCAGCACCCCAAAAGCAGCTCTCTTGAGAACCTTCTCGTAGTGGTTCAGGACGTTAAGAGCACCAGCTCTCTGGCCTATCCCTCTGCCAGACATTATCCCATCACAAGGAAGAAGAGCAGAAGGGAACCATTCCTTACCTACATCATTTCACAGCCAAAATACTAGCTTCAAACTGCCAACACAGCTGGTTGCACATTATTTTCACATTAGGTCTCACCTGGCTATGAGGTGGAGCAGCTGACCTTGCTCCGTGCAGGTGGGCACCCTTCAGCAGAGAATGCAGCATACAGCTGGAGATGGCTGTGTTTGAAAGCACTGCAGCTAGATCTCTTGGAGATCTCCTGTCTGAATGCTTAAAAAAAAATAAACAAAAATTGGACTTCTGTTAATACTCACAGCAGTGCAAAATAAAACAATCACTGAATAAGCAACCCAGGGTGCCTTCCCCAGTTTCGCAATAGCAAATGTAGTATAAGATAACTAAGAAAAAGCAAGAATACCAAGAGAAAAAACAGTGAATCAACACTCTTGGTTATGTAAGATGGTCATTAATATATGAAAAGCTGGCAAGCCTGAATTACAGGAAAAACATCTGCTTAATAGCATGGCTCAACAGCTTACATATATATATATATATACACACACACACACACCTTTCTGGTTATACAGAAAAGTATAGGGAATTCTTCCAAACAGCTAAGTCTGCAGCTAAGACTAAGGCAGCAATTACAAGCAAGGGGTTGTTCTTGTTCAGTCAAAAAAGATGATGGAATGTTGTCCTATAAATCTGCTTCCCAAATTCCCTTTAGAGAATTTAGACTTCACGGGGAAAGAAGCAACAGCAAATGCCTTCTATGGTAGAAATTTAAAAATTCTTTCACAAATCTGATCTGTATCACAATAATTCTAATGAGTTCATTAATGAAAATTGATTTCCAAGCTTTTCCCCAGAGCTTGATGGGATGCTTAAGCAGGATGGGTGTCATTTGACAGCAGCTTTGCACTCTTTTGAGGAGACCGAGGTAATAACCACTAGCATCCAGTACCTTTGTATCCACAGACAAGTTCCAAAACTATTCTGAAATCGATTGCACAGCACACGTAGAAGGGACTCTGCAGCATCCACATAAATGAATTCATGGAGTTTTTGCATTTATTTACAGGCTGACGATAGTGATGCCATAGTCTCAACAGGAATCTACATTCAAAAAATTTACAGCAAGGAACTGAAATTTGAAACAGTGACTTCCTGAAAAAAATGAAACAATGACATATATATATACACACACACACACACCTTTCTGGTTATACAGAAAAGTATAGGGAATTCTTCCAAACAGCTAAGTCTGCAGCTAAGACTAAGGCAGCAATTACAAGCAAGGGGTTGTTCTTGTTCAGTCAAAAAAGATGATGGAATGTTGTCCTATAAATCTGCTTCCCAAATTCCCTTTAGAGAATTTAGACTTCACGGGGAAAGAAGAAACAGCAAATGCCTTCTATGGTAGAAATTTAAAAATTCTTTCACAAATCTGATCTGTATCACAATAATTCTAATGAGTTCATTAATGAAAATTGATTTCCAAGCTTTTCCCCAGAGCTTGATGGGATGCTTAAGCAGGATGGGTGTCATTTGACAGCAGCTTTGCACTCTTTTGAGGAGACCGAGGTAATAACCACTAGCATCCAGTACCTTTGTATCCACAGACAAGTTCCAAAACTATTCTGAAATCTGAAATCGATTGCACAGCACACGTAGAAGGGACTCTGCAGCATCCACATAAATGAATTCATGGAGTTTTTGCATTTATTTACAGGCTGACGATAGTGATGCCATAGTCTCAACAGGAATCTACATTCAAAAAATTTACAGCAAGGAACTGAAATTTGAAACAGTAACTTCCTGAAAAAAATGAAACAATGACTTCCTAAACCAGCAATTCGGAGAGCCTTGGAACTGACCTAATGCCAACGAGTAGGTGACGAGCACTTCTGAAGCCAGACAACTTTCACTTCTATTAAATATGCTTTTAAATTAATAAGTCCCTGTGCAAAACATACTTGTGGTGACAACTTTAGATCTCTGGAGCTCTGAATCATTTTTCATTCCTGTAAAATCAACTTACACCTCCTGCTTTGTTTGCCTGGTAGAAACCTGTGAGGAACTATGAATACCAAATCCCTTTAATGAACATTATTATTACAAATAACTGGAACAAGAGACGTGTATGTATATAAGGAGTATATATGTGTATATACAGATAGATATGAAGACACTACCCTTTGGGTGCTTTTTTTTCCTAAGGAGGAAACCAGGCTGTCCATACAGCAGACTCAGGAATAATGTTTATTGGAGAATGCTATAAAATGGAAATGATCCCACTTTGAAAAAACTCCCTCCTGCTCACCCCACTATATTGTCTAATTAACAAATACATTCTTTTGAGCATCTTAAAGCCCTAAGCAAATTCAGCCACTTCTGCAAGAGATTTAAATGTAAACACGTTATCGATTTAACAGAAATTCCTTGCATCAGGCTCCAGTGTGGTGTTATTTTTCCTTCCTTTTATACACATGTTAAAATAATCATGTAAAAGGATTCCCGTACTGTGTCCTCAAATCTTTCAGAGGATGATTCACTCCATTCATTTTCACTAGGCACAGTGCTGCTTAACTTTAACTGAACATACCTTATAATATATTTAATGTGGATTCAGACCAATATGCAGAGACTGAACGACTCTTTGCTAACAATGCCAACAGACTGAAAGAAAATACACATGTAGGAAAGAAAGCATGGGTAAGAGGGAAGTGCTTGGCAGAAGGAAAGAAGCTTTTGGTGATTTGGTGGTATGTGAAAGAAACTGGGCAGCCTCCCACTGAATTACATCTTTCCATCTGCCCTGTCCCCACTCATCAGCCTACTGGGCCCATATACTCCTCCCCTGGGTAAACCATTTGGAGAACAGAAGGCAAAATGCAGTAGCTCGGTCAGTACGATTCAGGGGTTGGGAAGCAGGAAATTGGCTTCCAAAACTGTGACTCCACCTATAGAGAGGATGCCAGTATATATGGAAGGGATCTGCCTCACCCATGAACAAATCCTCTCTCACTAAACAGGGCAGGATTTAGGCAGGGCGTGCAGCAAGCTGCCCCTAAGTATACCACAAAGGTCCACGAAGTCTTTTGGTGAGAGTTAGTCCTTCCACAGGTAGCATTTGGTCACTGCCAGTCTCACCTAAGGATTGATTTCCTATCACTTTCATATTTTTAAGAGGCTCACAGGCAACACAATTTGCAATAGAGCTTTGCATTGCTTCCGTGCTCCCATCAGTCATTTTCCTCCCCTGAAGCTGTTTTAAAGCCATCAGCAGGCCTGTACAGTAACTGAAGCATATGGAGATGAAGTGGGTGCACAAGGAATAGCTGAGCTTTAATTGGAAATGCAGATGCATCTGTGCTGGCAGCTATTTTATCTAATCTACACTAATTCCAGATGATAAGGACACAGCAAATCTGTGCCTAATGTAACTCATCACGCTCCAAGATCACATGGAGCCTCCCATAGCGACTGAAGGAGATGCAGTGACAAGTCTGGCGGAGGTATGGATGAGTTACTCAGTGCATGAAAAGCACACCAAACCATCTTTGCCAGCTGCCAGTTCCTATTTGTTATGGCCCTTTTAAACACATCGGCTTCCCATTCTGTGAAAATCATCCAACGGATTGTTGATACCACCTCATCCTAGTATCACTGCGGCTGTATCAGGAAGATAATATTATTTCATTGCAAACAAAAACAACTTTGAGGGGGGGGAAAAGGGACAAATAAAACCCCAGACTAGTAGTGAGCTGGACAATGATGGAATTGCCTCAGATCTCTGGATGACAAACCACACTCCCTACGCACACGCTTACTGTGGTCCATAACCAGCCCAGCCCAGGTTTTGGCTATGTAA